CTTCCCACCTCCTACATCTATATAAACCCCCTTCAACCTCCCCATTTTACTAGTTCTCCATACTTCCCTATATTTTCTCAGTAATTTCTAACTGTAAGTCTTGTTTATTGCTGTTCATTTTCCTTTTTCTCATTTTATTTCATTTAATTTGTTTTACATTTGGTAATGATCATTCATTAGCTGCTAATTACATTTTTCGAAATTAGCAGACCTGTATATACTTGATCATTCTAACATTGTGATCCCATTTTTAACAACTCAATAGCATATATATTGAAGTCTATTTGATGCTATACATTAGGTTTAAGAATCAATTTCTTAAGTCTCAGCTGCTTAGGTGTGTAGATCAAAGTCTTCAGTTCAAATAGCATTCAGGCTTGCTTGATTGATTGATTTCGAGCAAAAGATTGATTGTTTGACTGCATATTTAAGATATTATCTAGAAAATGAACACCCGGGGTTGTTTAGGGATTTCGTATATGAAGCCCAGTTGTAGTATATTAACTCTTGGAAGAAGTTCATCAATTTTTGGATGTCCACTTCTGAAACATGGTCGTTGTATTAAATATAATTTGCCGAAATCACAGTTGCAATTGTATTGTTGGATGGAAACAAATTGTTGTCCTGACAAAAATGCATTAGGATTTAGGAGTGCCATAGACTCACACCGGAGGGTTTTTTGTGGCTCCGGTTCGAATTCGGGTCGAGCTAGGGTTTCTTCAGCTAATGGGGTGAAGAAAACTAATTTTTTTACAAGTGTCATAGCAAATGTAGCATCAAATACGAGGAACCATTCAGATTCTGTTGAATCCCGTGTAAATGAAAATAGCTTTGAGAAATTATACATTCAAGGTAGCTTCAATGTGAAGCCCCTGGTAATTAAGAAAATAGAGGAGGGTCAAGATTTGTTAGGAAAAGATGAAGAAAAAAACAAGGAATATAAAGTTCAAGTAAATGAGGATTTAAAAAATGCAAATATCGACCAATTAAGTAAATCAGAGGTTTCCGAATCTACCCTTGGGGGTGATGTTTCTGAGGTGGAGAAGGAAGCTTGGAAGTTGCTTCGAGGAGCTGTTGTGAACTATTGTGGAAACCCTGTGGGGACCATTGCATCTACTGATCATCCAGCTGATAATCAGCCCCTTAATTACGATCAAGTCTTTATTCGTGATTTTGTCCCGTCAGCTCTAGCTTTCTTACTTAATGGGGAGGGAGAAATAGTGAAGAACTTTTTGCTTCACACTCTGCAGCTACAGGTGACTTGATATATATTCTTTGATGCTGCTCTTGCAACATTGATTTCACATTTTGTTTTTCTTAAATATAACTTCAATTCTTTTCTGGTTTTCGATTAGAGTTGGGAAAAAACCGTAGACTGCTACAGCCCTGGACAAGGGCTTATGCCAGCCAGTTTTAAAGTTAGAACATTGCCTCTTGACGGACGAGATGGAGAGTTCGAGGATGTTTTGGATCCAGATTTTGGTGAATCGGCTATTGGACGAGTTGCACCAGTTGATTCCGGTATGTCTTATCAGCATCCATTTATTCAAGCAATTCCAATTTAACTTCCATTGTATCTACGTTGCTTGAATCTTCGATTGACGGAGTTGTTTGTGTTACGAGGTTCGTTAACTATATGCGTATAACTTGAACAGGACTATGGTGGATTATTTTACTAAGAGCCTATGGGAAAATAACAGGCGACTACACGTTGCAAGAGAGAGTGGATGTGCAGACTGGTATAAAATTGATACTCAATTTGTGTTTAACCGATGGATTTGACATGTTCCCTACTCTCTTAGTCACTGATGGTTCTTGTATGATCGATCGAAGAATGGGGATCCATGGCCACCCTCTCGAGATCCAAGTGAGTAGATTGCATATTGCCACAGTATATAATTTTTATATTTCAAAAATTTGGAAACATATTAAATGATTTCATCCTTTGGATTTGTAGGCTTTATTTTACTCTGCTTTGCGCTGCTCCAGAGAGATGCTAACTGTGAATGAGTCGACAAAGAACCTTGTCGTGGCAATCAATAACCGACTAAGTGCACTTTCATTTCACATGAGGGAATATTATTGGGTAGACATGAAGAAAATAAACGAGATTTATCGTTACAAGACAGAAGAGTACTCTGCAGAGGCCACCAATAAGTTCAATATCTATCCAGATCAAATACCTAGTTGGCTTGCAGATTGGATTCCCGATACTGGTGGCTATTTAATCGGCAATTTGCAACCTTCTCATATGGATTTTAGGTTTTTCACTCTTGGAAATCTTTGGTCCGTTATTTCATCTCTGAGCACATCCGAACAGAGTGAAGGCATAATGAATTTGGTGGAAGAAAAATGGGATGATCTTGTGGCACAAATGCCTCTCAAGATTTGTTACCCTGCACTGGAGCACGAGGAGTGGCGTATAATCACCGGAGGCGACCCTAAGAATACGTAAGAAATATAATGGAATATTTATATTTTGCACTTATTGTAAATAGTATTATTAAAACGAAGACATGCTTATCAAAAAAATTAACGAATATGCATTTCTGCATGCAGCCCGTGGTCCTATCATAACGGGGGATCATGGCCAACTCTTTTGTGGCAGGTATTATTTTACTGTGATATATATATATGATTGTTATAAATAATTCGAAGATGGATGTTTTTAATTTATGTAAACCATTATGATTGACGTTATATATTATATATTTCAGTTCACATTGGCATGCATTAAGATGGGAAGAACAGAGTTAGCTAGGAAGGCAGTTAAGTTAGCTGAGAAAAGGCTATTAGTTGATGATTGGCCAGAATATTACGACACAAAACACGCAAGCTTTGTTGGTAAACAAGCCCGTCTTAAGCAGACGTGGACAGTTGCTGGATACTTGACTTCGACAATCCTTTTAGACAATCCAGAGTTGGCATCTTTATTGTTTTGGGAAGAGGATTATGAGGTGCTCGAGAATTGTGTGTGTGGGCTAAAAAACGAGCCTAGAAAGTGCTCCCATTTTGCTGCTAGATCTCGTACTGCCGTCTAAAACTTTTGTTGTAATAATCATGGAAACATAGTATGTACAAACTCTCACTGTTATAATCTCATGTCAAATTCCTCCTCAATAGGTTAAAACTCTCATTACTAAATTTGCTCTTATATTTTATCTTTTGTGACATAGTAATTCCTTTTTATAGTGTCCAGTATTTGGTTGTTATCATTGAATTGACTTTTTATGGATAAACTTCTTGCGTTATATTAGAGTGCAAAAAAGTATTAAAGGATGTTCCGGGAACCAAACCGGAAACCATTTGGAACCGAACATTCGGTTCGGTTCCGGTTCCTCGAAAATCGGAACCGAATCGAACCGTGATCATGTTTACATGTATAGTATACGTTTTTTTTTTGTGATAATGGTCACGATTCAAAAAGTAGTAGAATTTTTTTTCGCCAAACTATTTATTAACTAAACATGGATAAACATTTTCGATATTATATATTTGAGTGTTAAAAAGTATTAAAATAAATACCGGAATATTTCAGCTTTTTTTGGCGGAAAAACGTGTGCTATAGTATACATTTTTTAGTGATTTTGTTAACTTCCTTAAATAGTTTTTAAGCAGCATGTCATTATTTAAATATTTTACCTTGGGGGTTTTGAAAATCAAAATTATAAATTTTAAAATATAAAACCAATTTGTTTTCATAAGGTAACAACAACAAGTATTATATTTAAATTTTCCTAATAATTATGTATTGGGCTTTTTCACCCGCCACGGAATGACTAAAACACCCCTTCTCCCTTCTAAAACCCTTTCTGCCCTTTTAGAATTAATAATTATACAGTTCCTTCCTTATCTTGAGCAAAAAAAATGATGGATTCAATGGCACTGAAATCTCCTCAATTCGCTTTGAACGGCGAAAATTGTTACTGGCCGTCACTAAATGGTCGTAAATTCGCATCTTCTTCTTCTTATACATCATCATTTTCTTGGTTATTGCCATTTGATTATCAGAAATTGAAGGTAAGGGGAAAATCAGCAATAGTAGCAGCGGCCAAGAAAGATAATAAGAAAGGGAAGAAAGAGGACGCCCATAGCTTTGTCGCGAAGCCCGATGAATCCACTGGCCCATTTCCTGAATCTGTCCTTCTTAAAGAGGTCTCTTTTTTTCTTTTTCTTTTATCTGTATATTATTTATACGGACTCGCACGCACGAAGTTGTGTTTGTTTGCTCAGTTTTATTTGAATTTTCAATGCCTTAGAGAAATTAACAGAGTTTGGGTGTGAGAGTAATAGTCTGTCTGCATCTCAAATGTTTATATTTATGCTGTTTTAGATTTTCTGGAAGGTGATTTTTGATATTTGTGATACCAAAAGAGGGTGATTTTGATATCTATTCGATTTTCGTTGAGAATGAATGAATGCATAGGCTTTTTTTCTTAGAGCTGTGATGATATTACTGACGGACCCAATTGATAAAGATTGGAATTTGTGTTTTAATTAAGTGTATTTCGAGTTGCAAGACTGTCAAAATGTTGACGAAGAAGAATGCACAATCGCTCTTCTATTTCCATTTTTCGCAATTGTATTTTGATTTGAAATGTGGGTGATTATTTATTTCCTCAGAGAAAGGTTGAGGAAGATGGCATGCTTATGCCAGAGTTTGCAGATGTAGAAGAACGTAAGTTCTTAAGTAACCGACCATTTCAATATTTCCTTTTCTTTCTCTCTGCCGAATAATTGTTTTCTTTCTTTATATATATATATTTGTTGTAAAGAATGGAAACGGAAGAGGGATAAGATGAAAATTTGATTTTGCAGGTGAACTTTTCGAGGCTTTGAACCTGCAGCTTGAAAGTGATATGGATTTTGATCTAAGTAAGAAATGTCCGCCTTTTCCACTTGCTAATTGTGATTATCGAATGATAGTTATCCGAACAACAAAAAAATTCTTTCAAATCTATTCAAGTCATTTATCTATGTTTGTCATTCATGTGTACTGTTTTTAAGTGAAATTGGGTTCAATGTGATCATTTCCCTCACATTTACAGTGCGGCACTATGAAGTGGTATATCTAATTCACGAGGATCACAAGGAACAGGTTGAGAATGTAAATATCAAAATCCGAGGTGATTTTATTTTAACCTTAGTGTCATCTTTTTATTATTTAATTCCTTTTTTTTTTTTTAATTCTAGCATCTGCATCTAAAATATATGTTTGTACAATAAAATACAGAATTCTTGAAGGAAAAGAAGGGGAAGATATGGAGATTCAGCGACTGGGGTATGCGAAGGCTGGCATACAAGATACAGAAAGCAAAGAATGCACACTACATCTTAATGAACTTCGAAGTGGAGGCCAAATGGATAAACGATTTCAAGAGCTTGCTAGACAAAGACGAGAGAATCATAAGACACCTTGTTATAAAGAAAGACAAGGCAGAGACATGGAACTGTCCTCCCCCTCCCGAGTTCCAAAGTTTATATGCTGGTACAAACGATGACGAGGATATGGATGATGACGAGGATTACGATGATGATGATGACGAGGATTATGATGATGAGGATGACGTGGAAAACGAAGATGAAGATACTATTATATATGTGGATGATGATGAAGAAGAAGATAGTACTGTAGAAAAACAGGCAGTAGTTGCGGGAAAAAAGAACCAACAAGCTCAGAAAGTAGGTCGATAGTTTTAACATTATCCATCTTAAGTTGTTTGATGAATCTATTTTGCAGTGGATTTCAAATTCTTAATTAGTTCTCATAATTAGTTAATTTGGATGGATTTTAAATCCATATGATAGGAGTCATATTTAAATATTTCAAATTTATTCGTTTAGATTGATTGAGCCTTCATCTTCAATTTATAATAACATAAACTCATACTGGTCTCATCTTCATCGATGATTCTGGTTTAGATTCTTATATATAATAATTTATGAAAATGCTAATTTAAATCTTATAGATGGGGATTGAATTGCAATTAGCTATATATCAAAGATGATTCCAAATTCATAATATTCTGGTAGTTAGAGGTTGAATTAATATAGAGATAAGTAAAGAGTGATTCATAATTCATAAATGAAGTAGTTGGAAAATGGAAAACAATAACGAGATTAAAGATGGATAGCTTATACGGAACAAATTATAGTAATAATGGCATAATACCACCAGGTCCAAATATATATATCATAGTCGTGCTCAAGTTTATGACAAATTCTAATATTAGAAGAAGAATACATATTTAAATCGTTAATGTGTGATATATGGAAGAAAGTTTTAAGGAGTTGACGTAACTACCAAATAAGCACAGAAAAAAGATGATGTAATATATTTATTTCAAGAAAACAAAGACTATGACCATATTTTGCTTGCCTAACCTTAACACCACCAAAATGTATATTCTAGAGAATCGTAGTATTCCTTTGTCTTGACAAGTGTTGCTATTTCTCGTGACTCTCCCAATTTCCATACTCTATATATATAAGATAACGCATGCAACAACTTCAACCCTGCATCATCACATACACATACACTATTACTATTACTAAGCCAAAAAAGACCACATCATGGCGTTGTCCACTTCCGCCTCCTCAACCACCGCATTAATCACCGCCTTCCTCCTCCTTCTCCGCCTCTCCTCCGCCTTAAAAGACAGTGGCTCCGATAAGTTACCAAAATCCGACGTTGATCTTTTGGAGTTCCCACTGAATTTGGAGTATTTTGAAGCCGAGTTTTTCTCATGGGGCGCTCTGGGCGGCGGATTGGACACTTTTGCCCCCAATCTTACAATGGGCGGCCCGTCCCCTATTGGTGCTCGCAAGGCCCGACTCAGCCCACACATAAAAGATATCATCGCACAGTTTGCACTCCAAGAATTCGGACATTTGAGGTGGGAACATTTGTTCTTTGTTGCTTCATTAAATGGTTACCACTATATTAATTCATGCATGTAAAAGTTGTCTCTGTGCTTGTTAATCTGATGAAATGGATTTATATATATGCTGCACAGGGCAATCCAAAAGACAGTTCCAGGATTCCCAAGGCCACTTCTGAATCTAAGTGCAGAATCATTTGCAACGGTGATGAATAATGCATTCGAGAAACCTCTACAACCTTCCTTCGATCCCTATGCGAATGACATCAACTATCTTCTTGCATCCTATGTTATTCCTTATGTTGGTCTCACCGGATATGTGGGGGCAAATCCCAAACTCAAAAGCCCCACTTCCAAAAGGGTAAATGATTATATACATAAATTACACAAACCATTTCTCATAGTACTTAAATCTAATTAATTATGATTTATTTTTTGTTGTTGAATCGAATAAATTAATTCAGCTTGTTGCTGGGCTTTTGGGAGTGGAATCAGGCCAAGATGCAGTACTTAGGACACTACTCTACCAACGTGCTTTCGTGAAGGTATATCCCTATGAATTCACGGTAGCAGAATTCACCGACAGAATCTCAAGTCTAAGAAATAAGCTAGGAAAGAAGGGTCTTAAAGACGAAGGGCTAATAGTTAAACCAGTACAAGGAGCCGAGGGTAGAATCTCAGGCAACGTGCTCGCAGGTGATCAAGACTCATTGTCATTTGATCGAACACCTGAAGAAATACTAAGAATCGTTTACGGGAGTGGAAACGAGAACCAGCCTGGCGGATTCTACCCCAAGGGTGGTGATGGTCGAATAGCCAAATCACATTTACGCCGCCAAATAAGGAACTTCTAAGTTTGCATTTAGCCTCCAATTGGAGAGTCCCACTATCATGTATTACTACGAATAATGAGTTCAATATTTTAAATTTGTATGAATTTGATGTGTTCAACAGTATCAAATACAAAATTACGTAAGCCCATATCTCAAATGTGAATATATAAACCATTCGAAAATATCCAATACATTCGACTGAATACATTAACCTAGACAACTCACAGCTAAACTAATGTGGGGGTGTACTTGTAAGCTCACAGTAAGCTAACAGAAAGTTCCCAAACTGCCTAAACACAAGTTATATTACGAATTTTAATGATAAAATTTGACCCTAATGATGATTGTCTACTACCATGATAATACAACCAAGTAAGAAGATAAGATACGACGAGACAAAAGTAAGACTTTTGACAGACAAAATGCCAAGATTGCCCCTACCGCTTGGATGGTCTATCATCATCTTCTCCACCATCACTGTCATCTGTGTCATCATCATCTTTGCTCGATCGCTTCCTCTTCGGTGGGGCCTCCACTTTTCCAGAAGCATCCTCGTCATCATCTTCTTCATCCTCAAAATCTTCCTCGCCATTCTCTTGTGGTTCAAAATCGCTTGCATCTTCTTCATCTTCCGCACGAGCCACTGGTCGGACTAGGTACTCCGTGCCCAAATCATCCTGCTTTAATACAGCCATTACAAGTAAATCAGGGCTTAATAAAATAGCAAATGAATGCTACAAAAAGATACTTCACATGCAAATAATTTTCATCACTGCAGCGTATATAACAATTAAGCTATTTATCAGATAAAATTGCCAAGCACACATGTTAGCAATGAAACAGTATAAAACATTTAAAACCTCTTAAACGTGGAAAACCAACTTACAGAACTAAGCCCCGATTAAAATATGAAGTAATGAATACAGGACAAGAAAAACAAAAAAACTTTTTTTCTCCATTGATGAAATTCAAAATCAAGTATTATGAAGATACATGTAATGAAATCGGTGAATACTGAAAATTAGCTACCCAATCGAGTATATTAGTATCAGATCTGAGAGTTGGTAATGCAAACCTAGCACCCAGGGTATCAGCACATAGAAAAATTTCAACAAGAACAGGTAATTTAATTCCACTCTTAATTTCACACAGTTGAAGTTGTATATTACACGAAAACCTACCAGATCTGATTAATTTCAACAAGTAATTCAATTTTACTCATAATTTCACACAGTACAAGTGGTATATTACATGAAAAAACTAACAGATCTGACTAACTTGAACAAAAGAAATTCGACAAAAAAAAAATCTGCAGACGAACAGACTCGTAAATAACTGAGTTGAAATAAACGACAAACAAACAAATATTAGTTCGTATATGCACTGGAAACTTAATAATTCCTCAAAAACTCTAAATCAAACTCGTTTAAACATCAAAATTTCACCAAATAATTCCAAAATCAAGCAAAAATAATATTAATTCAGAAATTTCCTAAAACCAAAAAAAAATAAAAAATAAATAAAGGCAAACAGTATTACCTCTTCCTGTTCTTCGACACCTTCTTCATCATCATCATCGTCGTCATCTTCATCGTCATCGTCGTCGTCATCATCGTCATCGTCGTCGCCTTCATCGTCTTCATTATCTCCGTCTTCATCCTCGTCATCATCGACGTCAATGGCAGATAACGGTGCCACACCGCCGCTGCTGTTCAGCACTTCCTCCTCCTCTTCCTCGTCGTCCTCCTCCTCCTCCCCTTCTTCTTCCTCCTCATCGCCGTCATCGTCACCGTCAATTTCCTCCTCAAAAATTTTGTCCTCTTCAAACACCGCCATTACTTTCGGAAGAAAATATCTTTTAATTTGTTTGATTTTTAGAAATTATTTAGTGAATTAAAAAACCAGTGGGAAGAAAGAGGAAGAACGGGCAAGGTGTGTGTGTTCTCTCACACTCGGAAGTGAAGGGGGTGGAGGGTGGGGGGTCGATCTGGACCGTCGATTCTGGGATCCACGCGGATCGATGACGTGGTGGATGATCCAACGGTGGAAAATAAGGGAAAGGGTTATATTTCGTGTTTTTGTAACTGCGGCGCGCTATATTCATTTGCCTTGCGATTTGAGTGTCACGTGATTCGCGCGTGAGGGTATCTAGGGTTGAACTAAATTAAAACGCATATGGGCTTAATCTGGAAAAGGTCGGCCCAACGTAAGCCTATATGTATTACGCCTAGGCCCAAACTACAGAAATCAATTTTCAGTAATAAAAGTGAAAACACGAATAAGATCTTGATGGGTCGATAATTCAATTCAATCAATCACATATAAATTAATTTCATTCAATTATTTATTTATTATATACACAGTCCACATATGGAAAAAAAATAAATCAATAATTGGTGTTGAAATGATTTGCGGACACCTGGATTGGAAACTGGATATACATGCATGTGAACTTCCCTTAAATTAATGCAAAAACAATATCAATCCCCTATTACCTTTTTCATTTCTCCCTTTCTAAAAGTGAATTTAATTTAAATAATGTGAAAAGAAAAGATGGTAATTTAAGAAATAAATATCAGATAACAATACATATCATCTTCGCTTTCTTTTGCCATCTTCAATTAATTCGTTGCACTTGGAAATTGGAATGACAATGATATATTTGTTTGTCACTGATCATATATATCCATCCTACTTATTTTTATTTATTTATTTGTTAATTTATTAATTAAACGTGTGATCTAGAGTTATATATATATAAAAGAGATACCACCATCAATATTCAATACAGAACTGCTAAATAAAAATAATGATGAACAAAATGAAAATCTTAATATCAATAATCCTAGTACTGATCACCACCATCGCAGTTAATATCAGAAGAAATAAAGGACCAAAACCTAATCGCAACCACATGCAAGAACACACCAAACTACCGCCTCTGCATCAACACACTCCAAGCCGACCGAGGAAGCGCCGCCGCAGACGTGGCGGGGCTCGGGCTCATAATGGTGGCGGCCGTAAAAGAGAAGTCCAAAGAAGCCCTCTCCACCGTGAACAAGCTCCTCGTCAAGAGCGGCAGCAACCCGAAGAAGGCGCTGCAGCAGTGCCGCGACGCGTATAAGGCGGTGCTGGAGGGCGATGTACCGGAGGCGGAGCAGTCACTGAGAGGAAACCCTAAGTTTGCGGAAAATGGGATGGCCGACGTGGCGGTGGAGGCTGATAGCTGCGAGGCTGCTTTTGGAGGGAAATCTCCGTTGACTGTGGTCAATAAAGCTGTGCGGTTGTTGCCCGGGCTATCATCAGAAATTTGCTTTGATTTTAATTTTCCAAGTATTAAATATATTAATAATCATTAGAGATTATATATTAAAATAAAAAAAAATATATATTGTTTTCTCATCTATACAGCAATGTCTATTCAATCGATCGATGTTCCTTATCTTCTTAAAAAGTGGATTAAGACACATTTAATGGCATTGTTTGTAGATGTTATAGGCGGTAAAATCTTTCAATTACATAATAAAATCATAAAGTAACGAACATATTAATTAAAAGCGAAAAAGCAAAAGAATGTAAAGGCAAAGAAATATGGGGCATAAGATTATGTGTAATCCAATTTCATTAATTTCCACGGAAGGTGTATGTATAGTCTCTATATATTAGAGTAAATGTTACCACCTTTTCTTCAAAACACTATTGGTTTCATCTTGTACACTCATAATAATAATTATAATAAAAAGAAATTCCATTCAAATTGAGAAAATGAAGAGCCCAATAATCTCAATCTCTGTATTTCTAGTGATCACCACATTAAGTAGTAGTGTAAGTGTTGATACGATGGCAAAATCACAGCAAAACCTTATCGAATCCACGTGCAAGAACACCCCAATCTACGAGCTCTGCATCGCCACCCTCCGTGCGGATCCAGGGAGCGACGCCGCCGACGTGGCAGGGCTGGCCCTGATTATGATTGGGGCGGTGGAAGCAAAGTCGAAAGAAGCCCTCTCGGCCGTGAAAAAGCTCCTCAAGGGCGGCGGCGGCGGAGACAGGGAGGCGCTGAAGCAGTGCAAGGACAAGTATAAAGCGGTGCTGGAGGGTGATGTGCCGGTGGCGAAGAGGGCAGTGAGAGGAAACCCCAAATTTGCGGAGGGTGGGATGGCGGATGCGAAGGTGGAGGCAGATGATTGCGAGGATGCCTTCGGAGGGAAATCACCGTTGACCAAAGTCAATGGAGATGTGCGTGATCTTGCCGTCGTTGCTAGAGCTATTATCAGGAACTTGCTTTGATCATTCAATATTGATTTATGTCTGATGACACATGCATGACAGAGTTACGTTTTTTAACGAATAATCAATTATATATTTATATGTTACGTTGCTAATATATAGTATTAATAAACTTATAGTTAAGGTGGTGATCATATATTCTATTTATTGGAAGTTAAATACTAAAATGTTACTATGATTATGTTTCGATCGAATACAATATATATAAAATTAGTGACGATCTGATACTCATGTCATATCTTCTTCATAATCAAACACTCTGCTTGTGTCATAATATTCTATGGCAGAAATGTGATTAGTGGGGAGTGGAGGTTAGAATTAAGTAGTAGATTATTATTATTATTATTATTATTATTATTATTATTATTATTATAAGCTGTGTAATAAATAATAAGAAGATGAACATACATGAAAGAAGGTGGTGGGTGAGAAGCAGACTCACGTGATAATCAATAAAAGAATGAGCTAATTTCAGGTAATTCAACCCCCCTCCCATGTGCTTAATTTTAATTTCTATTAATTAATTAATTAATTAATAAATGTTGTAGTAAGGAGTATGTAACAGTAGCAAGTCAACAATTATTTACTACTAGTGTTTTAAATTTTGATGAAATTAATTGTAGTACATAGTAGTGTAACTGAATTCCTGGATGCAAGGCCAAAGCACATGAAATACATACAAGGAGAGAGATCCCACAAATCAGCCTACATTTACTCTCTCCCTCCCTTCCCTCTTCATGCATGTTACCCACATATCAATTATTATTACACTACGTACAACTCTGTCTGTGTGTGTGTGTGTGTGTGTGCCAAAAAATGTTTAATTTAGTCCCAAAGTGACTAGCACAAAATTTGGATGTAATCATCATCATAATATCAAAATTACGTACAAATCCCAAAATCAGATGTTTCAATCTCAATTTCCAACATTTTATAACACCGATCGAACAAGAGCACAACAGCCGCTGGCTGGGCTGGTAAAGTACTTACCATTCTTCTTTATAGCCAACACAGATAGAACTTCATTAATTCGCTCTTATTGAATATTATTACCGTAGAGATCACTGTACAGATCTCCATATTTTATCAACTTCCGATTCTGCAACTTATCTGTTCCGTTCTGTGTGTATCGATCAAGAATAAAGAGCAATACCAAAAATATTTGTATCAACCGATATCTTTTCTTTTATCACCCTTGCTATCTGAACCACCTGGAACTAGCTCCATTAATACACTTTGCTGGTCTTCAACAAAAACGAGTTTGCCCTCGCTTGCTCCATTTGACTGCGGTGAACCGGGGAATATTCCACTGGCTGTGCTGTTCATCGGCAAGATTCCTGATGGACAACCTAATTACCAACATACCACTTTAAATAACCTTGTTCAAACACTTAACTCCAGCAACCATTTTCTCAAATAACAGCCAAGCATATGGATAAAAAAAAACAAATAGATCCCTTTAAATAAAAATGCATATCTCATAAAATCTAAAATCAGCAGAAGATTACCTTGAAAAAGAATCACAACGCAAAAGAAAACGGTGAACAGCATAGCTATGAAGTTGCTGGTAGACGATGTCGAAGCAGAAGATGCCTTTGCTGCTTTCATTTTCTTCAATGCCTTCATCCGTTCGATCCTAGCTCGTTTAATCATAGCAAGTTCGGAAATCTCTTTTATCAGCTTTTGGTCAGCTTCATCAAGAGACAATCCCCTAGGGGGCCGTGGGGGTTTCGGAGGTTTCTTTGCACTCATCGACATTCGCTTCTCTTTCTTCGTGTTCTTATTTAAATCCGGAACATTCTTCACATTATTGCCGGACAGGATAAATGGATTTTCACCCTTGGATAATTCATCTCCATTATTCGTAGGCAGCCTATTATCACAGATCGTATCCGCAAAGCTCTCAATATCGATAACAATGTCTCTTTCTTCCATTGGATTGTGAAGATATTAGCCCCTTTCTTCTCAACTATAACTGGTTATTTCTTTAACAAATTAACCTCAGTCAAAAATTCAAATCTAACTTTGAATTTTAATCTAAAAATTCATTAAATTGGTGGGCCAGGAGTGATTTCTTCAATAAGCACATAGATTTGCCATTAGAAACCTGTGTGCAATAAGAGATGCAGCTGGGTTTTAAAAACAATGCAATTTTTTTCCCTTCAGGGTACTAAAAATTAAAGTGAAATTACAGTTAAATAAGAAAATCAGTGGCAGTAGATAACTGAAAATGAAGACAACGAATACGATTCCTCAAATAATTCAATTGTGGGGAACAAAGCAAGGCAAGGAATAAAAACAAATCACAGAGTCAATAATTGGTAGGGAAAAAGAGAACAAAAATAGTATTCAACCACAATTATTAGCACTGAAATAATTAGCAAAACTCATGGAGTACTGATGCTACATAATATAAAACAAATTTTTCTTTTTCAGAAAGAAAAAAAAGGGCATTGCACAAGCATCATTACCAGCAAATGCGTTTTATTTATTATTTTAACTATACACATTATTGTAAATAATTAGGAAAAGAAAGTACCTTTATGAAAATCAAGAAAGCCCAGATCCCATGAAAAATATGAAGCCAATGGTTTATTCAATTCAAGATCCGATTTTTCTTCACTGTCTGAGCTCTACTAATTCTACTAACTATTTATGGGAGAGGGAGAGAGATTAAGTAGGCTAATGAAAAAAAAGAAAAAAGATTCAGTATTTCTTAGCTTCTCTCTCTTTCTATCTTTAGAGTTCCTAGTATATAAAGAGAAAGATTTATAAGTGGGATTGTATCCAAGATTCAATCTTTTTCCTCTTCTTCTCTATATCTAGCTGTTGAGTTACCACTGCCAACGGCAATGTTGATTATATATATATATATAGTGTGAGAGAGAGGAAGTACTTGAATAGTGTGTGTGGTGTGTGAGAGAGAAAATAGTTGAATAGTGCGTGCCGTGTGTGTGTGAGAGAGAGGAGAGAGAAAAAAAGAAAAGAGACAAATGGGGGTTGGGTAACAACTAGGAAACTGGAGGAGATTTTTGAGTTTTGGCTATTCTATATTTATTATTATTATTATTATTATTATTATTATTATTATTATTATTATACACTCTCTAATTATTATTTATTGCTTACAGATCGTATATGTCAATCTTTTTATTTCTTTTTTTATTTATTTTTAATGAAAATGTAGCTTTGAATTTGAAAGCGACAGCCTATGTGAGTTATTAAAAAAAAAACTCAAACTGAGATTTCGCCTCATTTTTATTATTGTTCTTCTTCTTTTATTTCTGGTGGTAAATTAATATCTCCACCGACAACCTCACTCACTGCTCGTGTCACATTTTCTTTTCTTTTCTTCTTACTTTCCTTTTTATTTTTTTATTAATTTACAGATAAACATAAATTAACTAATTAAGACATATAAGCTATATTTTATGTTTCTAGTTTTTATTTAATTTGGATCCTCAAATGAAAAATACAACCGTTTGGTTTGGACTTTGGATCATTTTTCCATAAAAATATTTATTTAAAACCTACATACACAATAATAATATGAAAATATTTTAATAGATAATGGTTTAAAAATAAATAATTGACTACATTCAGTTCTGAATAAAAAGAATAGTTAGTTAAGAGTAATTAGTGAAGCATGTGACAATGTTCTGGTACTGTTTTAAAACTTAGTGTTGGACAAAAAAGATTTTAATGTGAGAGCAAGAAATTAAAAAGAAAGGGGAATTCATGCTTTGCAGGTGGGGAGCTGTTTGGACCCATTTCCTCTATTATTATTTTTTATTATTATATTAATTACTCCTTCAACACTAACAATGCAAATTGATTTGGATGTATCATATATATATATGGGCCTTGCAAATATTTCCTAATTAATGCTACTTTATAATATCTTTATTTTCTTTATTTGTCCTATAAAATGGTTTGCAGAGTGTACAATTAAAAATTTAAAATAGCAAAATATAAGGCTAAATTTGGAAATTCTAAATTCTATATAAAAAAAAAAAAACATTTCCGTTTTGTGGTTGAAAAAAATCAGAATTCTGTTTGATTAATCAATATTTGTAAGAACATGCAAAACTCTATCCATAATGCTTTATTTATTTATTTTTATTTAAGATGTATGTATACCTTGACAAAATGGAATAAAACGGGCCGATTAGAAGTAAAATATATGGCCCAAAAGGTTCACGAATTACGGCCCGCCTGTATATGGGTCACAACCCGTTAGAAGGACCGTTCTGGATATGAAGCAGTCAGATTCGGGCCGGTTCAACAACTAAAATACCATGAGATGGATGACACACAAGAATCTATGCCTGCATTTGCAATTTAATTTTCTCATATAAATTTTTGCAGCACAGCCAATCACCGTTGGATATGAGGTTTTCTATCGTGGTGATTTTTAAGGAATGAGAGAAGCAACTTTATTATTTCAATAGGAATGGTGAAAAATCTCATCGTTTTCGAGCAACATCAAAAAATGACGAAAGCATTTTGATTCAACATGTAATGGACATGAAAAAGAGAGAGAGAGGGAGAGAGTAAACTAAAGTTCGATAATGGCTGCACCACTCGATGGCTTGGAGGCGAAAACATATAGCCCAAGATCAGCTTTCTTGATCACCCCTTTTTCAATTCTTGCTTGGAAATATTGCTCCTGAAAAACATAACATGGAAATCCAATGAACATTCGAAAAAAAATATATCATAGTAAATTTTACATCATCAAATTAAGACAAAGACAAGAAACTAACCTTCAAATTAAGGATAAACTGAGGAACAATATTCTCCTTGACCAAAGCAACTGCACAACCACCCCATCCAGCTCCTGTAAGCCTTGCCCCAAGTGCACCATTGTCACGGCAAACCTTCACTAGCTCTTCCAGTTCAGGACAGCTGAGTATTATAGCACAGATTGTTTAGCTAAAATCAGATTATTGTATTTTTCAATTCAAAATAATATTAGTACCTGCACTCGTACAAAACGCTGCAACTGTAGTGGCTATCGTTCATGAGGTCCCCAAGCTTCTTCAGCATTTCTTCTTCACTGCAAGAGCCAAATCGACAAGTTTACAATTATGACAAACAGGGAAAAATAAGCAAATGATGGGTATCAATACTGTCCAGAAAAATAAAAATAAAAATAAAGAGTTGATACCCTTTTTAACTCACCTCAACTTTGAAGATACGGTGTCTTTGAAGGCAAAGACACGTTTGGCTTCTGAGTACACGTGAGTAGCTCTCTGAAAATTGATTTAGGATATTAATTGGAAGAAGTTTTCTAAATACGATGATAAAGAAGTTCTGATAGGGTGGGGGCGTGCCCCCCCCCCCCTAGGCCACTGGCAATATGATCGAAACCTAAGAACAAAAAAAACAGGAAAAAAATAATTCACCTGGTGCAACTTAAAATGTTTGGCAGCTTTCAGCACATCCAAAGAAGAAGGAGAATTGATAAAGATAGTCTCCAGCTTTTCATTAAGGATTGCCTCAATATCTTCTGCACTATAAGGTTCTTCTTTCAAAAATTCCTATACACGACGAGGTCAACTATTAGAACTTCATGCTTAAACGAATCCAACAATGTAGAAATATTTTAATCCTGAACAAACTATTCTTTAATAACTTCGAAAGATAAAAAGGTACCTTGACAGCAAGAACTGGATCGGAAGAACTACGTGTACCAGCAAAAGACACACAAAGCCCTTCAACATCAGAAAGTGTCTTGACCTTGGTTATCGCTTCTTCAGCCTTCATCCCAAGTTTTATGCCTAACACAATCTGCAATTACCCCAATATTTAATTTATGGCAGAAAATTATTTATTTTGAAAAATCGAGGAACAATGTGATTATAACAAAAACTCACAGAGGCTAAACGGCATTCAACAACCCTGTTGTTGTAATTAGTAGCGGAGGTAACTGCTTTCAGAGATTCAGCAAGTGAATGTGCAATTACAAATGTGCCCCCAGCAGGGAGCTGCAACTCAGTAGCGCGAATAGGGTTGAAATCAATCAGTGCTGCAAATCCAGATTGAGCCATCACAGATATTGCCTGTCCAAATAAACCAATTTAATTTAATTGTGTAATGGTGACAAATTCATGAAGAATCAACAAATGTAACGGGAAAAAGAACACGATCAGAATGTGTGATGGAAAAATAGTTTTAAGAAATTCAGAAATTTACCTGATCCATTCCACCAGATTGAGTGCCAATGTGTCTTTCACATTCGCAAGTCAGCTGAGCAAGTTCTTTCTGAGAAGACAAAATTTACAAATTAATATATATTTAATACTCTGTTTTCCAAAAGAACCAACAAAAGCATACATGCCGATATGCTTGAAAAATCTTTATGTGAGGTTTGACACAAATAGAAATATAATGCAGAGATGTAAAGACTGTGAGAAACTGGGAATAACCTTAGGAAAGTTTGCGCCCAATACTGCCATTATAGCAATTGTAGAAGAGCAAACAAATGCAGCAGAGCTAGATAAACCAGATCCTAAATGAGAAAAAAGAATACAGATCAGACAGAGAGCTATAGCATTGACCAATACAATTAATTCCGTTAACTAATTAGCTTATATCTAAATATTCGTGGATTACCAGTTGGGACAACGCCATCAACAACAACCTCGAGTCCAAATGCTTTACCAACATCTATTCCCTTTGATTTGGCATACTCGTAGTAACCTTTGTAACTGAAATTAAATATAAAACAAAAAAAGTTGAGATGTCAAAAGATATAATTTTTAAAAAGTACTCGAGATCAAGAAACTGCCCTAACACAATCCAGCAATATGCAATTACGAAAATCTGTTGAAAGAAAATTCAAGAAATACAAAATGTTCCATACCCACAGATAAAATAGTGACCCCATCTGTGATTCTTCAAATCAATTTCCTGTAAAAACAAAAGACCCTTTCTTTAGCAAGCTATAATGGATCAAGAAAATACGACATGACCTGAAATCTTAGCAGAACCAAATTGGTGTAGCATAGACTCCCAGATTTAACCAAAAACAATGTAAAGGAATTAAAAAGTAATTTTGAGCACAAACTTGATTACACAAGTGTTATAACTAAAGCACAGCCATTTAAAATAGTGTCATAATAACCATTTTTCCACCCAAGAAACACTCGGAAGCAGATTAAAACATGCCAAAAAGAATTCCTCACTTTTTTTCCGAATTTAATATTTAAAACACAGGCAAGGCAATCAACAAACTGCCGAACAAACAATCTTCTAGCCAACAAAATCATAAAATTCATGCACATGGAGACACAAACTCATAGTGAGTATGTATCTCTCTCATATCATGTGTGTGTATTCCCGATGTGAGCTTGGTATCTCATTGTTTATTACAACTTATTGGTGACTGGTAAATGCAACGAATTAATTAACAACAATTCCTTTATGTAATATCATAATTATCACTTTTTAGGAAAATAAAACATCGCCATAGCTAAACAATTAGCAGTAGATACCACCGTACCTGATCAGGATCAGCAGGGTAAGTACAGAGAGCATACTTGTCACTATTCACATTCGCAATCTTAAGTACTTTCTCCCCTTCGACTTTACGTATTGCCACTATCGTATCTTGCCTGATTGCCATAGGCAACACGGAGTAACCTTCATAATCTATGTGTTCTCCAATCAAATTCACCCTCCCTACAGATAATTAAAAAAAAAATAAAAAATTAATTAATTAATTAATAAAAATAATTAAAAAATAAAAAGCTTCAGTTCACTAGCATTCAGTAGGATCATAATTCCCAAATCAATACCTTAATTCTCTACACACAGAAAGCAATCAAAATTCAACAGATAAAAAAGACCAAAGAGGACAAAACAAGGACAATCGGAAGTCAAACAACATAACGAAATCAAACAACACGAAAAGCATAAAAAAAAAGGTAGGAAACTTTTACGCATATAAATACCTGGCGATCGGGCGTAGATATCAGGAGAATGACCAAAGATCTCAACGAATTTTGATTTCAAATTGCTGAATCGAAGCTCCGCTTCTTCAAGCTGTGAACCGGATCCATAAACGGGTTGAAGAGACTTGAAAATGGGCACGGGCAGATCGTCGTGTCTCGCCATTGATACTGTAACAAAAACTATTTGATCTTATTTTATTTTATTTTTTTGTTTTTCTTCGATACAAATTTCTCTGCTGCAGGGATGAATGATAATAATTCTTCTACTAGTACTGTGTGTGTGTGTGTGTGTGTGTGTGTGTGTGTGTGTGGAATATACAGGAAGGGTGAGGAGTCGAGTAAACTTTGGAGTTTTGTGGGGTTGGTTTGTTGGGAGGAGCGACACCCCAATAATTAAATTAAATTAAAATTTGAAAATATTTTTAGCAGGAAAAGAAAAGGTAATTAGCTATTGTTTTGGTTGGATTTGAAGGAAAAAATAAAAGATTCTGGATAAAGTTAAGGATGACAAAGTGTCGATGTTGATTTGTTGAAGAATCCATTTATTTATTGACCAATAATTTCATGAATTAGAGGATGATTATAAATGTTGTTAATCTTCATTTAAGTTGAGATAATTAATGGATTAGTTATAGTAATAATATCCATAAATCTAAACTATTTTCATAATTAATATTATTGTTCTTAGAAGTGTCTTTGCCCTTTGGGACTGTGGCGGAGAGAGAGAGGGATTGAATTATTGATCGACTTTTTTTATTTATTATTTATTATTTATTTAATATGAGTCGAGAATTGATTGATTGATATATAGATTCGTTTGGGATAAAAAATGGCGAGCAAGTGCAACAAAAAGTGTAGATGAAAAAGGACAATTTCATCTGGGCTTTATTGTAATGCTTTAAAATTAAAATACTAGTATTGAGATAGCAGCACTCACGGAATCTTATTTTTTCACATCTGTGACAAAATAATACTCCATATAATATGATGACATAAATCACATACTCAAATTTATGGCCATTTGATTCCTTCTTCATATATTAGGTACTTATATAAATATTATTATTTATAAAAAGAAATTTAGAAAAAAAGAGGCATACCCAATAAACGTTACGTTGATTGTAACGTTAGGGGTGTGCCAAAATTGCATTGGCGGTGGAGCTTTTTCCGAGAATGGCTTAAGCTGTAAATTTTCATTTTCTTAAATTAAATTCAACCACAAAAACATTACTCCCTTTGAGCAAAAAAATGAGACGATGAATAACTTTAGAAAATCAAATTAATAATTGGCTTTTGGTAAGCAACTTTTTTCTCCAAGTGGACCTTATTATGTCTTAGGATCAAAATCGACCAAAAGATTAAAGAAAAACTTTTTAAAAGAATAAATAAACAAGATCCACTTCTATTATTATTATTATTATTATTATTATTATTATTTAAAAAAGAAAAAGCAAAGAAACAAGTAGGCAGTAGTGCCAAATTGTGATTGTGATGTGATCAATAATTAGGTTTTATATTTGAAGTACGGGACATTTGGTCAGAAGCAAGCATGTGTGTATACAATTAGAATACGTCACGTGCCTATCCTTATTTTCACCTACCCATTACATTATTACGACTGTAATTTATAATAGCTATATTTTATGGATTATTAGGTGTATTTAATAATGATTAGATGTACTTAATTTAATGATTAGTTTGGGCCTGACAGCCCATCTGAAACTATTTTCTTGGGCTTTTGTTGTTAGTTTTCATGTTCAATAACCATAACTTATTTATTAGATTTGATTAGGAGCATATTTCCTTAACCATAAGCACAAGTACCAGCTGGTCACATCAATTCAATTAGTTTTTGCCGCTCAATATTAATCATAGCTGAACTTGATTCACAGCCCTACAATTCCGGCGAATTTCTCCATCACCCTTCTGCACAATACTCCCCATTTTCATCATCGCCCTTTTAAAATCCTCAAAAAATGCATCCACGTCATCAGCATAAGCCTCTACAATTCCACGCGTCTCCTCCACCTCTCCGGAGACCAGCACCTGATCGGAGCCAAGCAAACCCTCGCCGGATATAAGGTTAACATAGTACTGATTGTCAAATGTCGCCGGGGTCATATGGTCAAGCTCCGCTAGTGTTGTGCTGGCATTCGATTCCGGTGAGAAGCACAGTTGCTGCAGCGACTGCAAATATTCAAGATTAACATCAGGGCCATTGCCGGCAATTCCAGCGGTCCCATTTATCCGGCTGATAAACGTCGAGCATCGAGCTTTTCCCATGGTGTGTGCACCTGATCATATAACATATTTATTATGGGATTTTTCTTTTATTTTTTTTTTAATACATACATATAGTAATACTAATATAATTAATACCAGAGAGTGCAACCATATCTTGTAGGGTTAGGCCAAAATTCTGGAATTTGGACAACAATGTGGGTAAATCAGAATTAGGACCAGGTATATTGTTATTTGCTGCTGATTTACTTCCACTCAAACTATCTTTTCTTCCCATTTCCACTTCCCATCCAGGACCACCTGTCTGGATATATATTTCATTTTTTTTTTTTACAATTAATTAAACATTAATATATTGTATTGGTGAAAAATAAAAAATCATTTTTTTATAACCATTTAATTTCAATATAGAGTTTGTGATAAAATAGTATATAAATATGGACATATATGTACCAGAACAACAGAATCTCTAGCAGCAATAGCAAGGATATCAGCACAAGACACAGTTTGTGGACAAACATATTCAAGATCAGCTTTTATTGCATCTATCACTTCAAACCCCCTCAGCGAGTTCGCATTTGGAGCTGCCGTTTTCTCTCCAACAAAATCCGGCGTGTCGTCCAATAACACCGATGCATCACATCCCTGCAAATTCAATTACAAAGAAAAAAAACACACACATTTAACTATAATATGCATGTAATAAAACAATGATTAATAAACTAAAATATTAAAAAAAAAAAGAATAAATTAAACTTGCATTGACAAAGCAATCGTGGAAATGGAGGCGAAGCAAAGAAGCAGCCATTCTAGGATCGTCAGAGACGGCTTTTTCTACCCAAGAAAAGATAATGGGTTCAGCCTCAGGACAAGTGTTTAAGTAGAAACCAAAGCTTAATATAATAGTTGCACCAATATCATCATTGATGCATTCTTCTTTAGGATAATTGTTCGAAGAAATGGTTTTGTTTGAGATATTATTAATCATAGCAAATGCTGCTGAAAAATTGAGCAAGTAGACCACAGCTGCTAATAAGTATAACTTCTTCCCCATTCTATTATATTATAATCTCAGCTTCTTCTTACCACAGCTAGTTAATTAGTTCTGAAGTTTGTAAGAATGGTGATATATATATATATATATATAGAGAGAGAGAGAGAGGTAATATTTTTTGTAGATTTAGGATATTATGAGAAATTTGGTAGTTAGAAGATCAAGACATGGTCCAATGCAAGAAAAGGTCAGTTCCTGTTCTTGTACTCTCTTAACTGTTTACCTAATGCCATGTGATCCATCACCCATTTTGCTTTTCAATTTATTCAAATTATTCTATATTCTAACATATATCTAATTATCTCTCTCTATATATTACATTCAATAAACCATTACTTATCTATGTATCATTTTTCACTCTACCCGACTGACTTGATCGTCAGCGTGCTAACGCTGGAAAAACTTTAATTTCCGGGTACTCCTTTTTGCAAGTCTCCTAGGACAATTGGATTATTTCTGGATTGGACTTTCTTTCTTGGTCTTGAACTTCTCTTTATCCACAATATTGGAATAAATTGAATTAATGTGAATTCAATATTGGAATTAGTGGCAATTCAATATTGGAAGAAGTGGGCATTCATGTTAGAAGAAGTGGGGATTGAATAAATGTGAATTTGAAGCACTATTGTCTAGATGTATAGACAATTGTCTTTTGATTTTCCTAAGTATTAAATTAGAATTAAAAGAGTTGTTAGTGTATGAGTTATTTTGTAATTTGTTAGTAGATTAATGTATTCCTCACTATAAATATGGAGTGCTAGAGATCATTGTAAGCAAGAAAAGAAAAACAAAAAGAGAAGTAATTTTTCCATCCACAAAACACTTGTATTTTACTTTCTCTACTCAAAAATATTATTTTTTCAAGTCTTCACAAAATCACTAAAATCCAAATTCGGGATTAATCATTTTTATCCTATCCTGATGCCTACAAATTGGTATCAGAGCCATCTTAAAAATGTCCACCAACCTTGCTTCTCTAATACCTCGTTTCAATGGAGAAAAATTCGATTATTGGAGTAATCTTATGAAGCTTTGTCTTGAATCTCAAGACATTTGGAGCGTTGTTGAAGACGGCGTTCAGACTCCCGAAAATGAGGATCAATTGACGAATGCACAAAGGCAAACTTTGAGAACCGAAAGGCAAAAAGATCGAAAAGCTCTTTTCCAAATATATCAAGTCATCGAAATTCCCGTCTATGAAAGACTAACCAAGGCGAGTAGTTCCATGGAGGCATGGGAAATTCTACAAACAACCTATATATGCCGGGAAAAATGAAGTTAAAGAAGGTTCGTTTGCAATCTTTGAGGTGCCGGGAAAAATGAAGTAAAGAAGGTTCGTTTGCAATCTTTGAGGGCTGAATTCGAAAAATTGGAGATGAAAGAAAACGAAAAAATTGTTGAATATTTTACAAGAATCACCTCTCTTGTAAATCAAATGGCGACAAATGGCGAAGTCATGGAAACCCAAAGGGTTGTTGAAAAAATTATGCGAAGCTTGCCGGTGAAATTTGATCATGTTGTTGTGGCTATCGAAGAGTCACAAGATCTCTCATCAATGGCGTTGGAGAGTCTACAAGGACGATTAGAGGCACACGAAGCAAGGATCCTTCAAAGAAATCCTCAAATTTCTTCTCCGGATCAAGCATTAAAATCCCAAGTTACATTCACGGGAGGCCGTGGCTCGTTCCGTGGTCGTGGCCGAGGTCGTGGTCAAATAAGAGGAGGAAGAAACTCTTACAACAATTACCGTGGACAAGCCAAATCAAATGAAGAGGCGAAAGAGGAGGAGAAATATTTTCCGAACAATTTTCAAAGAGGAAAAGGCCGAGACCGAGGATCATATAAAGGTACAAGGCCTTACGTTGAGTGTCATTATTGTCATAAACCGGGACACAAAATCAATGATTGTTGGGAAAAATATCCAGAAAAAAGGCAAGAAGTTGGTTATTTGCATGAAAATAAAGTCGAAAATATGGAGACTTTATTGATTGCATCTAACGGTAGCTCTGAAAATACTTGGTATTTGGATAGTGGTGCGAGCAAGCACATGACGGGGAATAAAAAAATATTCTCAAATCTCGTCGAAGCTAGCCATGGGACAGTTACGCTTGGAGATGGATACACCTACGCATTAGAAGGTGTTGGAGAAATTGTCTTCAAAACAAAATCCGGAAAAGTCGAAACAATGTCCGAGGTTTACTATGTACCTACCTTGGCAAGTAATTTGCTAAGTGTTGGTCACTTGATGAGGAAAGGTTTCAATATGTTTTTCGACGACTTCACTTGCGTTTTGAAAAACAAGGATCAGCACATTGCAAATATCGGTATGACCGGAAATAATATTTTTCCGATCAAACTTGATAATTTTGAAGCCTCTTGCCATTTAACCGTGAAGGACGATGTTTCAAAGTTGTGGCATGATCGGTTCGGGCATCTTAATTTCCAAAGTTTGAAGGAGTTATCAAACAAGCAAATTGTTCAAGGATTGCCGAACATTAAAGCCATGGACGAAATTTGTGAAGAATGCCAATTGGGGAAGCAACACCGAGAGCCATTTCCTTCCAAGTCAAATTGGAAATCAAAGTCACCATTGGAGCTCATTCATAGTGACCTTTGTGGACCATTTCAAGTTCCCTCTCTCGGTGGTAATCGCTATTTCTTGTTATTTATTGATGATTTTACAAGAAAAGTTTGGGCTTATTTTGTGAAAGAAAGATCCGAAACTCTTTCATGCTTCAAAGATTTTAAAATCCAAGTTGAGAAATTTTCCGGTTTCGAAATAAAAAATTTGAGGAGTGATCGTGGTGGAGAATATTTATCTTCTTTATTTGAAGAATTTTGTCGAATCCATGGGATAAGACATGAATTGACGGCCCGGTATACACCGCAACAAAATGGCGTGGCGGAGCGAAAGAATCGAACAATCATGGATATGGTTCTGTGTATGTTGAAAAAGAAGAATATTCCATCGGAGTTTTGGGCTGAAGCGGTCGCTTGTGCCGTTTATTTGATCAACCGATCACCGACGAAGAGCTTGGAGAATTCTACTCCAAATGAGGTGTGGTATGGTAAGAAGCCAAATGTTAGTCATCTTAAAACATTTGGTTGTCTTGCATATTCACATATTCCAAATGCTATGAGGACCAAACTCGACGATAAAGCCGAAAAATGCATTTTCATTGGGTATAGTAAGAGGTCAAAATCTTACAAGCTTTACAATCCTCAAACGAAAAAAAATTGTGATAAGTCGGGATGTTCGTTTTGATGAAAAATCTTCTTATGATTTTTCAAAAAATTCAGAATCATTAACTTGGCCGACCCTTGGATACGAAGAAGGCTATTCTCAAGCAATGCAACCAAATGATGGTGAAAATGAATCTCCACAAAATTCACCATCACCCCCGCCAAGATAAACGAGGAGTTTGAGAGAACTCTATGATGAAACGGAGGAGGTGAATGCAACAAATCCTATTTTATTTGCATTCTTTGCCGGGGAGGATCCAATCTCTTTTGAAGAAGCCTCAAAAGAAGAAAAGTTGAATCAAGCAATGAAAGAAGAAATCAAGACGATTGAAAAAAATGAAACTTGGGAGCTCACACCTTTACCTTCACACAAATCTCCTATTGGTGTGAAATGGGTGTTCAAAACAAAAACCAATCTTAATGGTTCCATCAACAAATACAAGGCGAGGCTTGTTGCAAAAGGATACAAGCAAAAAGAAGGAGAAGACTTCAATGATGTATTTGCTCTCGTTTCAAGACTTGATACAATTCGCTTAATTATCTCTCTAGCGGAAATTTTCATGAAGCCATTTTGGAGGTCCCGTTTTTTCGAAAAATGTTGAAGGTTTGGAAATAAAAAGCAAATTCAATTTACGGGAGGCAATGTTGGAATAAATTGAATTAATGTGAATTCAATATTGGAATTAGTGGCAATTCAATATTGGAAGAAGTGGGCATTCATGTTAGAAGAAGTGGAAGATTGAATAAATGTGAATTTGAAGCACTGTTGTCTAGATGTATAGACAATTGTCTTTTAATTTTCCTAAGTATTAAATTAGAATTAAAAGAGTTGTTAGTGTATGAGTTATTTTGTAATATATTAGTAGATTAATGTATTTCTCACTATAAATATGGAGTGCTAGAGATCATTGTAAGCAAGAAAATAAAAGTAAAAAGAGAAGTAATTTTTTCATCCACAAAACACTTGTATTTTACTTTCTCTACTCAAAAATATTATTTTTTCAAATCTTCACAAAATCACTAAAATCCAAATTCGGGATTAATCATTTTTATCCTATCCTGGTGCCTACACACAAGACCCATTCCATTTTTATTATTATTGTTAGGACCATTTAGGCATCATCAATATAAATATTTAACATGAATCATAAGTGACAGTGTGATTTTTTTTTTTTTAATTCGCATACACCTAACAGGCTAACACTGAGGAACATGGATCTGGGCTTCTGTCTATAAAATTTTATTGGGTTTATTTATGGCCCCAAGTATTTTGATTGATAAATCACAGGCCCATAAAAGAAATATATTTTTCATCAGCCCTCAACTACTCGATAAACTAATTTGAAAACTGAAATCGCTCTCTTTAAAGCTCACAAATTGGTATAGTTTATCATTTATATTTTCCACATTTTCATTAATCAATTAATTAAATAAATAAAAAAGGAGGAAATTAAGAAGAAATAGAAAAGTTGATTTCCAGCTATATATGTTGAATAATGAATACAATTCTTCTAATTATATTTGTGATGTTGGCATAGAATATTATTCACATGCATCTCTTTACAGTTAGCAAATTTTGTTCATTCTGATTCCTTTTGCATGGTTGTCACCTCAACTATACATTTCCAATTCGAATCGGAAAAAAATATTATTCAGTATAAAGTATTGATTAATTAATCCGATGAAACTCGAATACTTGAATTGGAAAAAGAAGAAAAATAATTACTGCATAGATCTCTCTCAATATAGTATAATTATTAATTAATCCTCTAATGATATATTAGTATATGTTTTAATTAATTACCACAAGTTTAGATTATTCCAGACCATAAAATGAAAAGATCATTAAAAAGGCAAAACAAAAAGAAGCTAATTAAATTAGACTAGTTTGGTCCCATGCCACAAGTTTGAGTAATAGCCTATACATCTACAAGTAAGGGCTTCCATCCATCCATTCATATATATATATATATATATATACAAAAAATATAATTGTTGAAATTATATAGATATGTTATACTAAGTATGATTGACTAAATTTAGATCAGTAGTCAGTCAGCTGATCAAATAGCAGAATAGCAAATATATGCTTGGTAAAAGAAAGAAAACAAAGGCAATCTCCTAATTAATATTCCCTTTCTCTGCTATGGCTATTGCAGTTATGAGAAAACATTAATATTGAAAACTTATCACTAAATCACTGTTTGATTGCATATATATATATATATATATATGCTATGGTAATTGAGCTGCGGCATATATCGACGAGTTCCGGAAAGTTCTATGTATGGTGAATCCGAAGAGCTCAACTGAATATATTAATGCTCAATGGAGAAACCCTAACCCTAGAACTCTCTGATCATCAGCAATATATACAGCTAGCAGAATATTTCACTATAGAAAAGCAGAAAAAAGATGTGTACGTACTAATTAATACAATATATATATCCATTAATTTTTATATATCAATATAGATTAAATAAAGTACAAGTACAATAAATAATAAAAGAACATCATGAACTAAAACAAGTACGTCCAAGCAAACTATATATGAAGTGGGTTCATAACTAAAGAGAACTCCCAAAACTTCACACTTAATTAGTAAATTAAGAAAATTTAAATTCATACAAACTAGTAATTAATAATTAACTTCTCTAGCTACTCGTCCTTCGGGCCGTTAAACATCTGGGACGGCAGCATGTCCTGAAGAAGGCCATGGTCTCTTGCAAGAGAGGCAGCGGAGGGGCAAAAGGGTCTTTCTTGAAATACAGGAGGAAGAAATGTAGGATTACTACAACTACTACTAATATTATTAGGGCTAATTAAACTCATCAAAGGAGGTGGTGGTGTCAAATTATGAAAATAGGGTTGTCTTTGTTGTTGAAGAGATGAATGAGGTGGTGGTGTTAATTGCTGATGATGAAACATTTGTTGGATGGCATAATTATGGGTGATAGAACCACCAAAGCCACCGCCGCCGCCACGGCCAGCGGAGGAGAACAAGGGTGTTTCCGGCATGATAGAGAAGGTGCCACGTGTCATAATGGGGCAGGGATGTGTGTGTGTACCTTCGTAGGTAGTGACAACAATGGATGGATCCTCAGAGGATCTCTCTACTCTTTTCTTCACACCACATGCTGTACTTGTGCACCGGTAGTAGCTCCTACATATATATATATATACAAAAACGAAAATAATTACATAATTAAATTAATATATTAGAACTCAACAAAAAATCAAAAAAGATAAAATTGCATTAATTAACGTTGGATAATCATTACTTCCTCAAAAGTTCAGATCCTTTTATCAAAGACGAACAAAAGATCTTTCTAAAATGAAAAGTGAAATATAATTATTATTATTATTATTATAGAACTATATATATATATGTGTGTGTGTGTGAATATACTAATACTAACCTAGGAAAAGGGCTGTTTTTAACAGCTTTCTGGCCGTACTTTCTCCATCTATAACCATCGTCCAAATTATCAATCTCACTCTTTGTCATGAACGCAAATCTCGCTTCTTTTTGCTTTTTTTGATTCTTCTTTTTTGGCTTCAACCTAATTAATAACCAAACAAATCACCACATTTAATTTATTTTCTACATAATAAACAATTGTAATTTACAAATCCATGTATGCTGAATTATTATTGATTATTTTTCAATCGGATCACGGCGCATAAGTACTGAAATTTATAACTCCACAAGATCTGTATGCTTCTTCATAAATAAGCTTTGTTCTTATGAAGGTGTTATATCAATGGTAAACCCTTCATTAAATAAATTAATAAATAAATAAATAAAAAAGTAAAAAGATTATAGGCCTTAATTATCTATCCACAGTAGAACGTAACTGTAGATTAATTAAAAAATGACCCAAGAAAAAGGCTTACTGTTTCTTAGTCTTCTCTTGTTCTTCTTCTACTTGTTCTTCAACAGTTATTTCAGTAATCATTTTCTGATCAATATCATTTGCAGCTGCAGGCTCAGTCGAAGATGAAGATATGGAAGAAGAATTTGGTGTAACCGGAGTATTGACAACCTCAGAATATTCCGGCGGCAAAGTGAACGCCGGCGAGCAGAGAGGCAGCGCCGCTAGTGGAGGATTTGATGGTGCTGTAATAGTCTGAAGCAAATCATCGAATATCGAACAAGGGGTTCTGATGAAATCTAACATGTCGTCGCACGATGACATGTCGAATAATAAACTGTTTTCTGCCGGAGTAATCATCTTCTGATGATGATGGTCGGAAAATGCTGTGTTCTTTCTTTCTATGATCTTCTCCTCCATTAATATTTTTTTTTTCTTATTAAAAGCTTAGATTCTTCTTCATTTCTCAATTGCAGTTATGTCTTTTATCTTTCTAGAGAGAGAAAGAGAGGAGAGAGAGTTTTTTATTAGGGGGTGTTTGGTTTTTGGGGTTATGAAGTGTGAAGAGAGTTTCACAAAGTGCTTCTTTTTCTTTGTCACTCTCTTTTTTAAGGGACAACAAACAGCTTGGCCCCGCGTAGATTTTTGTTTTCTTCTACATTTGATTTCTTTTTCTTTTCCCATCTTATCTCCTTTTCTTTTTTCTTTTTCTTTTTTTTACTAATTTTATCATTATTTTATTTTTGTAATCTTGAGAAGAAAAGTAAATATTTTAGAATATTCTTGTTAAACTAAGATTGCATACATACAATACAAGTAGTACAACAATCCCTAAATATGGTCTAGTTGGTAGAGTAAATAAGAATACTCATGATGTCTACGAGCGGAGTTCGATCTGCCTTTCCGATCCAACACGTATATATATTGAAAAGATGAGCTCGTCGCATATAATTTATCAGCTTCAATTTCCACCTCTCGTGTAAAAAAAATAGTACAAGATGTGAATAAAAAATGTAGTAGAAGAGGACTTTTAATTGGAAACTTCCTTGTGACAACCTAAGGTAAAATTAGAATAAAATAACATGAAAAATGAATTTGGTATAGTTGAATATTATTGCTTGGCATCTTAGTACATACTACATAGAATATAATTCAATATATTTAAGATAAATTTGACAATATTGTTGTATGGAAAAATCTAAAAAAAGAGAAAAATGAAAGAATGGGGTTAGGGTTGGGTGAGAAGAGTTGACCGGAAAAGGCCGGTGGGCAGTTGGTACGGAAACTTGGGACGGATGGTATATAGAAGATAGATGGGGGACTGTTACTTGTTAGCATTAAATGCGGAAGGACCGACCCTAAAAGTTATTTTTTACTCGCCGGGGTCTGACCGCTTCTCTCTCTCTCTCTCTCTATTCTCATTCCGCTTTCTTCTTCCATGCACGCACGTGCCCCACCTTACCACTTCAAGTCATTTTTTACGTCCCCCCCTTTTGTTTCTTTTTTTTTTCTTTTTTTTTTTTTTGTTTTTTTTTTTTTTTTACTTTTATTTTACTCGCTAGATTTTCTTTCAATATTTGAACGAGTTAACTTTTTTTTTATTTGGACCATTAATTTTCATTTTAATTGATGGATCAAATAATTCTATTAAGGCCCAAATCAATTATTCATTCCCAAAATAACTAAAGTTTCATGCTAAAATGATATATGTCGGCAGAATTGTTAAATAATACACCACAAAAATATTAGAGTTCGATTAACTCAATAATTAATATTGTGCTGTTATTAATTAAAAAAAAATTATTAAATACAAACTACAAACAAATGGAACATTAATTACATTAATTTTATTACAAAGTTATTGGCAAAGTTGCGCATCAATTTACTAGTTGATTTGATAACACTATCAAATATAAAAGTGTAAATTAAATCTCTATATATAAATCATTTTCGTTGATGCTTCCTAAAGTTAACCCGTTGCTATATATGTGCATGTATTTATAGAAAAGGTGATAGAAGCCTCCCCTTTTTAAGGTATAATAGTTGCATGGTCTACACCATATTAATTACTGAACTAATTAATTCTATTAATATTACAGTAATTAAAGTGAGGTTTTTGATTTGAAAGGGTCCCAAATTTGGTGGGTGCAACCATCAAATGATTTCAAGATGATCTAATAATATTTTTATGTGTCACAATAGAAGGTGATTTATTATTATTATTTAAATTAAATAATATTAATTAATCACCTTCTCTTTGGTTGTTTTTTAAATTATATATTGAGAAAAAGAGGTAAAAGTTTGAATGTATTTAATTTATATTCGCCTTTCTTAAAAAGCTATAGGCATAAAAGGGCATAAGAGGAAAGTGTAATAACTCTACAACAATAATAATAATATATGAATGGGTAAATAATGAGTGAAAAAATAGGCAAGGAAAAAAATAATTACCGAGTCTTGTAGAAGCGTGTCAAATAAGAAAGCACGTGTGGACCACACATATTGCTGACTCCATTCTTACGTCACCATCTCAACCCATGTTCGCTTCTTTTACGGTTTTCCCACATATTATAGATTTTATAGACACTAGAAGAAATCTAATGAGTAAATTTTTTTTATATGCATTTAAAATACATAAATTTACATGTAATCACCTCCTTTTTTGACACATAAATTTAACGTACGTTCATGAATCTTTTTATGTAAATTAAAATAAAATGGCACTTAGTTGATCATACATGTAAAAATAACGCGTTTTGGGTGTGGTGGGATGGAATATTTATTACCTCCTTAAATGTAGTGATCATGAATTGTATATTCAATATACAATCCTTCTTTATTTATTATTATGATTCTTTCAATCGGTAGGGGCCGTCACCTGATTTTTTTTTTTTTTTTTTTTTTTATTAGCAGCAATATAAAAACATAATTTGACCAGTTCGCATATATGTTCCATACTTGATTATTATAATTCATGTGGCCCCAATTTCGTAAAAAACAATTACCCTATGTATAATTCAACGGAAATAATATTTTTTTTATTGACTAGAATTAATCTAAAAGTCCGTAAAAAATGTAAAACCAATAAATGCAAATAACTAAATACAAAAGTTAGAACAATTAAGTGATTAACTTGTCTTTGTCACCTTAATTATTAAGAGCCTAATTTGTGTATACCTAGCTAGTTAATAGTTATATAGGCATAACTCTTGACCTAATAATTATTGCATATTGTACATTCGATTTCTCATCATATTCACATCAATTGACACGCATGCATTAATATACGTGAAAAGTACTAGTTTACCCTTCCCTACAAACGTCATGTAATGATGAAACCAGTTTCATGTGTATATCTTCAAAATCTAATATGTTATTATTACATACAAAACTTGTACTTACCTAAGGTACAAACTCTCACTATAACCAGAAATTTCCAAAACTTTGTTCCTTGTCCTCAATACTATAAAAAATAAACAATATTTTCTCTATATTACATATTTAATTTATTCATTTCGAATTACCCTTCTTATTTTCCATTTAAATTCGTTTATTCAATTAATATGTGTTTTACGTGTATTTAATTAGATTATGTACTAATTATACGTTGAAAAAGGTTGATAAAATTTGAGTACACGTTAATTAATCAGATTTAATGTATAAAGTATTTTTAGGTTGTGTATACAATTGGTGGTCCTTGAATCTTTTTTGTATGGTTAATTTTCGTGCAAGAAATTAAAACCACACACATGGTGTTGCCAATTTTCACATGGGCAATTTCTCTCGGACATATTTCATTATTATTTTTTACGTATATGATCAATTAATAAGATAGCCAAATATTTGTGATAACACTACTTATAATCTTCAACTTAATATAATTGTTTTTTAAAGCTATGAAATAAGGTTTGAACGTACTTGTAACTTGCTTGTGTGTGTGAATATGAATCATTTAATTACCAATTGAATGAATGAAGATTGACAAAAGAAGGCGTATATTTAATCAGCGTCCTTAATTATAAATTTAAAAATAAGTCACACTGGGTTAAAGAAAAAAGAAAAGATTCTGATTGGGATTTCATTATACTCACACCTTAAATTAAGCAAAATAATCATAATGCCAATTTAATTAGTTAAAATGTTGCTTTCTACTTATTATATTAATCCACCCTATAACTGCCGCCGGTTAGCTTCCCCACTTCTAAACCACGAGAGAGAGAGAGAGAGAGAGAGAGAGAGAGAGAGAGAGAGAGAGAGAGAGAGAGAGAGAGAGAGAGAGAGAGAGAGAGAGAGAGAGAGAGAGAGAGAGAGAGAGAGAGAGAGAGAGAGAGAGAATCAATCAAATTGATTTGTTTCAACTTTAAAATATGGAAGCAAACCCTAATTGTTGGTACACTGCGGGAAATCAATTCTTGACTATATTATTGCTAGGCTCCACTAATAGTTTCCTCCCATTTGAATATATTATGGTTAAATGATTCTGTTTCTAGACAAACTTCTATCATCATCCATTACATGACAGTTACTAAACTAATCAACTCGGCCAATTATTGATTATTTATTTTTATTTTTCTAGCAATAAAAATGATAGAAAAATATTGATCTATGCTATAATAAAAAAAATGCATCAGATTCTACGCAACCACCAAATATTCCATTCCACATAATATTTAAGGATATAAGATGATACTAAGCAAGATTTTGCACTTACATAATTCAATTAAAATCAAAATTACATGGAATAGGGTAATTATAATTACTCCTAATTAGCATTTGCTATGTTTGGCTAAACAATACAAATAAATGGACCAAAGGGAACAAATGGAGAAGAGAGAATTAATAGTTGCTGGGAAGAGGCGAACACATTTTATTTAATCTTCTTCTTTAATTAGTATTTAATTAATATATTAGTTATAATTAACTAGTTAAACTCAAAACATTCATGTATGAATCATTCGTATGGTCTGTATTAAAATCTACTACTAGTCTACGTTGACAAAAAGATACCGCAAAATTAGGGAATACAAACCTTAAATATTGAATGTCTGTTTAATTTGGGTGTTCGAAGTAGATCACATGCCTTGAAACTTTGTTACACTCCAATTCATGCATTAATACACGAAAAAATTATTTTCCTCGATCAACTTAAAATTACTATGATATATGCCAAAGCCTGCAGAAACACACGACTTGTTTGACTTTTGTCACACACCAAAACCCATATGGATTTATTTATTTATATATATTCTGTCATCTGGTTTGAATAAAAAAACTACAAACATTGTTCTACAGCTTTACGCCATTTGATTTATGTATGTATAATATATATCATATGAAGGATGAAATAAATAATTAATGAAAAAATAGTTGGTAGAAAAGAAAAAAGGAAAAGGGAGAATTAAGTAGAGAGAAGCAGAAGAAGGTTGACTAAAGGTGGTGTCCAAGTTTGAACACACAGCGATAATTGCGGCCATTATCCCCTCCTTCCAAATCAACTATAGTATGTGGTAAGCACATGATCGATATATGATCAATGTCAAAGTCAACACCTCCTGCTACTGCTCCTTTTCTTTTTTTATTTCAAAAAAAATTATTATTTTGAGGATATATAGTATAACATAATTCATTATCGGGTCCGGACAAAATCACCCTCGTACACCAAAATATTTATCTTATTTTCTTTTGTTTTTTTGGTCCAAATAAATTAGTACAAACTAACTACTTTGCATGCACCACGCTTTCTGCTCTACTCTTGCTGTTTTTCCCCCTTCCCTTTATTTTCACTTTATTTTTCCCATGGTTTATGTTAGTTATTATACTACAAGTTCATCTCATCCATCTCTTTTAGAAGCCAGTTTAAACAAAAAAAAAAACACACACACACACTAATTATATTTATTATTGATTAAGAAAAGATTCCCTAATTAACGTAAAAGAAATGGGCCATAAAAAAAAATATTATTTGTGTCAAAGTGGGCCATAAAATATGAAGCAGGGTGCGGTGCGAACATTTCCAGTTGAATCCAACTGTGACACAAAACCCAAGAGAGGAAAGAGAAATAGACCCCATTCAGCTAGGTCAATATTCAATGGGTCCATTCTCTGCTACGGACCTTTTGCCTCTCAGTCCGATTATTTTTAACCAATCTCATAAAAATACTCGATAAATTAATAATAATCTCAATAATTGATGTTTCTCTAAATTAATAGCATTTTATTAGTGCCAACCTTATCAATTTATATAGCTTTAATTGTATACAAGTAATATAGACCAAAATTTGTTCTTCAGAGATTTGGTATTTATTCACTTAGCATTTAGCAAGTCTTAAACAAATACACACACTAAAAGTAGGGCAAAGACTAGGTGGCAAACAAAGAACAAGAATTCGTTCGCACGTAAATTAAGGAACACCAAGAATCACAATGTTACAAACGAGGTACATAGATTCAACCCTATGTTTTTGGATGAAGTTAACTATTACATCAAACATGCCTGAGAAAACAATTGGACACAACAACCATAAACTGAATAATGATTATCTCAATAGAAAGATATATGTGCCCAAGAAACATGAAAAGAAAGACTTGAGTCATACCCTATATTGGAAAATTGAGCCACGTCGAGGATCTCATCATGACACTGAGGTGGCGGCAGCAGCTTGCCTGAGTCTTCGTTGATGTACATCCCAGTTATACACACGAGCAATAGTAACCTAACCGATACAACAGCCAAACATAGATGTAAAAGTCAAGCGAAAATCCACCACAGAACGAAAAAGCATTCATATTGCAAACGCGAAAATGTTTTGCAATGTCACAAATAACACAATTCAGTGATTCACTATTACTTCGTCCCTTAGTATTTCTCCGTCTACATTTCCTAATAGGTGTTTAGAGATATGATGCCCGCATATTACCTGAGTAATCGTGACTTGATCCCTTAGGAACTGTAGATCCGCAACAAGAACTTCTAAACTAGCTTTGGCATTCTCCAAATTCTTTTGAAGAAGGGTAGTTGCCTGAAAAATGGAGTTTCCAAGATCTCATGTATCAAGCCTGATTTAAAGGCATCTATAATTTTTTTTTTTTAAATGTACCTCGTCACATGAATATTCCAGCATGACGTTAGCTCCAAGCCATAGACACACAGAATCCGCATCTTCAAGACGGGCCCGGGAGTAAATGCCTTCAGACACTTCAAAATCAGTAATAATTGCCTGCAAATAACATCCAAAGACGGCTCAAATAAATCTGAACTACAAAAAGAAAGACGAGTATACAAACTTTAGCTAATAACTTGCAACATAGGCAGAATTAGTATTTAATATAACATATTTTAGCAGCGTCTAGCAGGAATTAGCCTTAGCACTGCAAAAACTCCAAATGACCAGAATAAGAAACAAATCTTGTTTGAAGGAATTCATTATATACCCAACACTTCCAGTCAAGTCCCTCAAAGGGAAATGCATACCACACATAAATATATTTACCTTTTTTATGTCGCATATGATTTCATAAATTTACACGAAAAAGTCGCACATTAGAAAACGAAATACCCTAAGAAACAGTTCAAAGTTCAAAAACAAACCTCACCAGTGCCCTTCTTTGCTTGCAAAGTGGCAACGACGTCTAAGCACTTCTCAATGTCAGGAATTTTCGCCTGTTGTTATATCATACAGAAAGTGATTGTCAAACTTTGCAATGCAAGAAATAAATGTTGGGATGACAAATCAACAAAAAAACTATTGACCCTGATAAAGTTGGTTATCGTTTCTTTACTTGGGAAATAGGCATTTTTAGTGCCTATCTGCAGAATTGTCTTGCAGTGAGCTCAAAGAATTTGTTACACTAAACATTTGCCGAAAGACGTCATACTGAGGTAAATTGCATAGTTTCAAACAGAAGCCGAGTGTCATTCTTACACTTAGTATCACAAAACGTCCAATTATCCAGAAACCCCAAGTAGAAAGCATACTAATCATGCATATCAGTCAAAGAATGGAAAGAGACTATCATCGCTCGATAAAAAAACTACCAATACTTTCTTTCCTCAGCAACTTTACAACAAGACAAACCTCAGTATCCACAACTAGGAAAATGAGAAGTCCACGAAAAAAAGGAGCACACCTGAAGATCCCTTTGCTGTGCAAGAAGTTTCATCTCTACCACTCTGTATTGCTGAAGTCTGTCAAATATTTATTATAGAAATTAGTAAGGAAGAACGAATTAAAGAAGAGCATGACTCGTTTAAGAGGTTTGAAGAGCCTACGGCAATATATAATATCAGCAGTGTTCAGAAACCATTGAATGGACGAACAATATCAACTTGAAGGGAAGGTCAATCCAAATATAAATCCTAGTACAAAATATTAATATCAAGATGTCGAGGACAATTACAGTTACCATAAACCACATTAAAGATAGTCGATAAGAAATAAAATTGGGAAATTTAGGACCGTGAATAAAATTGCACACCCGAGTTTCCACAAGTAATAATTACTGGAGGTTCATTTTCAAAACGGCCTAAACCTTGGCAACTAAACCTCATAATTCCAGAATTCGCAAGTCCATCATATGAGAAATCAGAATGTTAATTGTAGCCAAACCCCGAACTTCCGCAATCATCTAGTAGACTAATACTACCTCTACACACATTGCTATCCAACTCCCTAGAGTATAACTTGAAACTATCCATCTTTTTTCATTACAAACCGTAGTTTTTCGTTTACAGTTTTTACAGTCTAAAACATTCAATATCTGAAATTCATCATCCCATTTAATAATTAATAAATGACTAATCTCCAAAATTCAGCATTCCATCTAATTCGAGAAGAGGAACAAAAAAAAAAAATCAGTACTATCTAGCAAGTAGCAACTCAGAAAATCAACAATAGCAAATAAAAAAAAAAAAAAAAAAGGGCACAGCCTCTGTTAAATTGATTTTTTTACAGTGATCTAGGCTGCGGCGCATGTGTTATGCAGTAAAAAATTAAACATATGCATCAATAGATGGGAAGAGCAAGCAGTAGAAACCTCTCTTGCAGATGTGCGAGGGCGGAGCTGACGTCGAGATTTAATTGAGAGAGGTAGGTCTGCACATCTTCAACAAACGACGCAGCCGGAATCCCTCTTCTCTCCGTCGCGCTAGCTGACGTGGACATTTCCTCCGCCGCCAGTAGATGCAGTTCGATGCAGAGTAGTGTGTGCTTCTGAGTTCTCTACTGTGTCAGTGTTGAGGTTTTTGTATTTCTCTCTCTTGACGATGATGCGGAAGGGTTGGAGAGAGGGGTCAAAACAACAGTTATTTTAATCTCGCGTTTTGACAGAAAGACGACTTTGTATTATCAATTATGGGCCTTTTGTATTTAATGGGTTTTATTTTGATGGGCTTTGAAATATAGTGGAGATGTACAATTAACGTTTTAAACGGTGTTGAAACATTAGAAACGGGTCCAGTTAATTGTAGTGGAACTACAATTAGGTCCCTTTCCAATATTTTATATTTTATCATTAATTAATAATTCGCAATCTATTTTCAAAAGTTTTTTACTGAAAAGATTGGGGGCAAAGATGTCAATTGTACTGAAAAGCAATTTATTTATTTATGTTCGAATTACAACCATTAATTCGCCACAAAATCTATTTTCATTGTGTGGACATAATGAAAAGTTTTTGTTTTAAAATCCATGTAGGGTTGCCTAATTAGCTGTCTAATCCAATTACCTAGTGAATAAGACTGTAACTAGGTCATTAATACCCATTTGATTAATGCTTAATTTGGCCATCTTAAAACTTGATGAAATAAGTTACTGCTTAAATGTTCATGTGCTCAAGTCATTGGTTAATTGCGTTGCTTTTAATCTTTCCAAGTTCTGATTTATTTATTTAATTTATACTAGTAATTTTTATTAGTGATTTTAATGTTGCAGTTATTTGGGACAACACATACATAATTTCAGTTGCTCGCCAAGTTTATCTTATGGTGCTCTATCTTAATCAGTACTCATAATTACTCATTGTTTCTTTACTTCTTTACCAAAACTAAATATATATTTTATTGCTTTTATCTTTTGATCATTACTTGGATGAAATAATAATTCAACAATGATGACATAATCTTAGCTTGGGATTGTTTTTTCACAATAAGAATATATGCAGAAATATAATGTATGTTAAATATAATGCAAAACCCGAATTTATTATTAGGTACCTAAACTTTAAACAAATAGATAAAGATGACATGGAGTAAGCAGTAATAAACAATTATTGATAAACATAATCAAATGGAACACGACTCTTGCAGTTCACTAATTTATTTTATTTTATTTGGACAGTCAAATTATTCTTTGCCGGGGAAGAAACTTAAGCATCATAACTTTGATTATCACATAATTAATTAATTAATTGATAAATGTCATTTCAAGCTAAACACAACCTAATTGATCTGCTTTACAAGAATGCATGAGATAATATAATATATTATCTCTTGTACTTAGCTTGTTATTATCACATTAACTTCAGCACTATTCCAAATTAAACCTCGGATTGTTGTCTATGATGAAACTGCACAGAGAGTTTAACAGATAGCACACATGATTATAAAAATCGTTTAACTTAGGCTCAAATTAAATATTATAATATAATAACTAATCAATAATAAACCTGCAGGTTTTGTACGTAATTATTATTTTTTATCATTTTTACTTTATCTAGATAATGTAATTATTATTATTGGTATTATTATATGAATGTTTAAAGCACATGGTTGCCAGTATTGATTTGATGGTGCTGGTGCCCACATTTCATTTGTGAAACATTTCGTCTAGCTTCTGCTACCTTCGTTTTAATTAAAATTATGAAATTTTAATTCTAAGAAATTGTTTATTAAGCATTTTATTTATTTATTTGGGACCCATATTGGGGGGTGCCCATGTGCATTGGTGCTTTTTTTTTTTGATTGATAAAAAAGCACTATATATAAAATGTGTGGTTTTCAATTAGGTATAATCACTGGAATTAGGTGTAATGATTAAGCTAATTTTAGAGATTATTTATCTCTTTTGTATTCAACAAGTTTTATGCTCTGGGGGTTTTAACATCAACATCCCACCTAATTCATACTTTTATAATCCCTTTTTTTTTTTTTTTCTTATATATAAATCATTTTGTTGGTGAAGTTATGGAAGGAAACAAGAATTTTATTATTGCTTCATTTAATTTTATTTACATGCAGTCAATTTCATGCTCCTCTTTCATTTTTTTTTATGATACTAAAGTTGGCTACGTTATATTGCATGTGTGATTCAAGGCTGTGAAATCAAATTCATTTACAGCCAACCTTAATAAATATTAATTGGTCACTTTAATTATATATGATGAAGTAAATATATTTAGTCCAGATAGATCCATTCAAACAAAAAGACAACCCATTTCATCATCTCAATAATTAAAAACATTCAGATACATTTGTCATTTTCATTTCTGCACATGCTACACCAAAATTTGATTGCTCAACTTATAATTGAAACTTCACCTTCTCATCATATATAATTTTTTTATATTTTGTCGCAACCCCAGAAAACAAAGGGAGACACCCCATTTTCTTGAATAAGATACCTACTTTCGAAGCATAATAAATCAAAATAAAAGTAGCCACAATAAGGATACAAAATGTGTAACAGTTCAATTCAACCATAGTGAAGGGGCTGAATAATTATTATCAAACTCAAAAGCAATATCAACCCCGTTGGCTGCTAATTAATCCCCCTTTGAATAATAATGAATTATTATTGTTGTTGAGTGAAAAAAGATTCGAAACTCAATTATGCGTAACGGACCCCGTTTCCACGTGAATAAAGAAGATTGTGACCTCGATACCTTGCACCTAACCCACATTATCTCCCTTCCTCAATCCTCTAATTTTTTCCCCACTTCCCAAATTATTTTATAATAATAATATTACATTTCCAAGTATCAAACATTATCACAATCTCTCCTATTTTTTCACATTAGAATATTCATATATAATTAGGGTGCTGGATAATAATAATAATAACACTTAAGAAAAATAAAAATATAATAAAACGGAAAATCGAAATTAGCGGTCGTCGGAGGTTGGCTTCAACTTGAACTGAACTGATTATGACCGGCGCCACCACGTGCGGTGGAAGAAGAGCCGGAGAGAGAGAGTAGCTCCGCCAAGGCACTCATTGCTCTTACCTGTCAACACAAATTAAACCAATATTCATTAATATTTTGAATATTCCAAATTAAATATTGTGATGAATTTCAAATTCGTTGAATCAAAACTTCAATTAGTTATATGAATGAACATTAATGCAAACTTTAATTTTTGCAGAAGAAATATTATTAAAAAAAATGAAACTGCACACGTGTACCTGCATTTCAAGCGCGGCTATATAATCGGTTGCCTCCTCCAAAACCACCGGCAACGACTCTTTCCGGCAGCCGGGAACCAGCCTGCTCAAAACGCGCGCCTTGCGCTGAACCGCCGGCAGAGACTTGGATCTCAAACCCAAAATCCTCACCTTCGATTTCTTCTGCTGCCGGCTGCTGCTGCTGCTTCCGCCGGTGATCACCGTCATCACCTTGTTCTGCCGTTTGACGATGTTGTTCTTTTTCATAAACTTCAGCTTAAGCCGGTTCGTGAGTATGGCTCGGCTCCACCTCGTCCGACCTCTGGCAGCGGCGGCTAAGACTCTGTCCGCGGCTTCGTGCACTCGCTTCGGACCCGGCGAGTCGCTGCTGAGTCGGACCTGGCGAAGCGCCTGAAGCAGCTTCGACGAGTAGATTTGCTGCTGAGCGTCCGATTTCCATTCAATCGATGAATTTTGACACTGGTGGTTATAGTTTGAATTTTCTCCCAAACCGTGGCTCTGGATTTTCTTCTTCTTCCTTCTTCTCGATCTATCGGAATTTACAACTGGATTTGCTGACATCAGCGATGACGACATCCTTATCTGTATATTTTGAATGTTCTGTACTGCATATTCAATTGAATGGGTAAAACTCAGAGTTAGATTCAGAACGAGTACCTAGATTCAAAGAATAAAGCTACAGGAAGATTAAACTAAATGCAGAATTGATTACGAGTAATTATCAAATGAAGAAACGACTGATGACAA